CAAATACTCGCCTCCTGTCACTAATAAAATTAAGATTGTAGGTACACTAAAGCTAGCATAATCTACAATTTTATTAGTTGAGAATACATTGTTATTTTCTCCTTGCAGTTTCTGAGTTATTTGTGTTTGCTCTGTTAATTTGCTATTTAGCTGGGTGAGCTCCAGCTTAAACATTGTAATACTTGAATCCAGTTTTGCTTTATTTTGATATATAATTTATTCAGAGATTCTTCTAATATCTATTGAGTTATATTTAGAGGAGGGGTTATCTGTTTATCTTGGTATTGCATTGTGTCAAAGGAGAGATTCAGTTCTTCACGTTGTTCTTTGGAGATAGATTTCCTATTGTTCTCATTAATTTTTTGCGTAGTAGAAAGTGTTAATATCTTTGTTTTTTTCTGATTTTTTTGTTTTTTCTTTATCTTTTTTAGGGGCCATTTGGTCTTGAATCTTCTTTTCTTCAGTTTTATTTTCCCTCCTTTCTTTTTTCCTTTTCATCCTCCTTTTTATTTTTCATTTCCTTTCCCTCCCCCTTTTTCCCTTCACTGTTTTCCCCTTTCAGCATTTATTTTTCCCCTTTCTTCCAACTTTTTTCTTTTTTTTTTCTTTTTTTCTCCTTTTTCCTTTCTTTTTTCCCTTTCTCTTTCCCTTTTAGGTTTTATATGTTATGACCTTCTTTGTGGTCTTTCTTTTTTTCCTTTTCCTTTCTTATCAATTCTTTTTCAGTCCCCTTTTTTCTATCCCCTACTCCTCCTTTCCCTTTTTTTCTTTCCCTCTTCTTCTCTCTGTTTCTCCTTTTTATTCTTTCCCTTTAAGTTCCTCTTTTTTTTTTGCTTCCCCTTTCCTCTTTCTCTTCCATATTTCCTTCTTATGTTTATTGTATTATTTTTCCTTTTCTTTCTTTAATCCCTCCTTATTGTTATGTACTTCCCTCTACGATAAGTTTGCTGTGGACATTCTTGTATCACTGCTTCTTAGGGGAGAAAAAAAAAGATCAAACCAAAAGGGAAATTATGCAGTTCACAGTTATAGCTAGATTAATAGTTATGTGAGGCCATATCAAGCCTATTGCAGCCACCACATAAAAATCTTGAATCACTAAAATCAAGAGCGCATACACCTAACCACTTCTATCTGACTATCTGTCTTAGCTGTCTAACACGTGTTTCGGCGCTGCTACACGCGCCTTTGTCCGAGACTAAACAGGAGTGCTCAGAAATACCTGTGGCTCATATAACCCACAGGTATTTCCGAGCACTCCTGTTTAGTCTCGGACGAAGGCGCGTGTAGCAGCGCCGAAACACGTGTTAGACAGCTAAGACAGATAGTCAGATAGAAGTGGTTAGGTGTATGCGCTCTTGATTTTAGTGATTTGAGATTAGCCAGCCTATTATCGTTATTTTCCTACAGTGGTGGTTATGGGATGGTGATAGGGGGTTGGATGCCTGTACAGCGAGATCGCTCCACACAGTATAGGAGAGACTGGAGCGATACTATATTGTACGCAACTTAGGAGTCTACCTTTTTTCCTCCCCCAATTAAACCGATTCCACACGGAGGTTCAACTCTGAGAACACATAGAAGGCACTTTACACTTTGTATCTAGTGCTGACTTCAAGTCAATGGAGCGCTTTAGCTACATTGTTAATGATCTGTGTGACTATGTACTTTACAGATATTAATATTTCTTTCCTATCTGTATGTATGTTAACATTAGGTTGGTATGTCGCTACTGCACTAGGAGAGATATAGCACTAGCTCAGTAGTTTGACACATTTGATTATTTCTTTGTAGTAAGGTTGTACGTCTGAGTGAGGTTCCCCCCCACCCCCTTCCTGATTTTTGTATCCACGAGGGGATTTAACAAATCGGATAAGATAACCCACTTACAGGCATTCTCACCTTTCCATATTGATCTTAACCTATATATATTTTTTGTTTCTGTATTTCTTTTTAAACAGCAATCATTAAAAGTAAAATTTTAGCTATATATATTATTATAGCAATCGATTAGGGGGCGCCCTCTTTCTATGGACCACGCTGGTCTTTCTTTTCTTTATCTTAAGTTACACATATAAGTGAGGGTTATCCCCTATTTCTGGACGCCCCTAGATACATATATACTGGTTTCCCTAAGGGCAATTGGTATATCTTTTTCATTAGTGTGGGCACCTAATGCAAACAATCTCAGTCCTTAAATGGGCTGCTACCATTATATATTTCTTTAAGTACTCTCACACTTCTTATATTATGCAAGTGGTGAGTAACCCTTAGCAGGGGAACCGCCAAAGGATGACCCGCCAGCAACATTGTGTTTATGTTGGAAATCCGTCCTTCACCGTGTCTCACTGCGTATCCGTGTAGCCACCTGTCAGGTTGTTTTTTTTGTACACCATGTTTCCATGTAGCCGCCCATCAGGTTGGTTTGTTTTTAGCCGTGGGACCTTTTCAAAATATAATACAGCCTTCACCCTCATTACCTTTGTACCTCCTGGCTGATTTCTAACACACTTCAGTATTTTTTCAGCATACAGCGTTCGCATCGGCATTCCTGTTGCCTCGTCTGTGGACTACCCCTGCACCTCACTTACGGCGGTGAACATACGTGTTACCTGCTACGTTATCTCTCTACCTCTCTCTTAAAAGAATTGTCATGGACTTGGTGGGTCCAATAATAATATCAGCAAGAGGCCTTCAACATATTCTGGTAATAGAAGACTATGCTACCCATTACCCAGAAGCCTATCCAGGGCTACTCCCTTATCAGGTTGCAACCCTCATTACCTGAGCTGGATATGGATTATTGGTCTTCAAATTCAATCATACACATTAACCTCTTAAGGACCAAACTTCTGGAATAAAAGGGAATCATGACATCTCAGACATGTCATGTGTCCTTAAGGGGTTAATGACCTATTTTTATCTACTCATTTTATGATTTTTGACCAACTGAAAAAAAATTTAAGTTAACCATTTGTGATGTCCAAATGCATAAGGAGATGGTGTAGTTGAATAGCAAGCATGTTGGGATTGATCCCAGTCCACACCCAGTGGCCCCTACTAATGCTGCAATTTTAAGTTCTCAGTGCACTTCCACGCCTCCAGAACTCTCACCTAAAATGGCAGATACAATGGGTCCAGCTACCTATGCCAGCTTTCCCTCTTCACTCAATGCAACCTTCGCAGAATTCTGGCAGAAACTAAGAGAAAGTGATGTATAGAATCTCACAAGGGGAAACTAACATCAGGAGAGCTCCACTGGTATAAGAAATGAGGAAGGGGAGCCCTACCTTTAATAAATCTAAGGATAAAAAGAGATCTGCAAACAAAAAGTCTAACTTTAAAAAAGGGAGATCTGCTAAACCGTGCCCAGGGGATCCATTAACTGGAGTATTGCAGTATTGTCCGACTGACGGGAAGGTAGTGTAAACGAGGTTAGTGAGCGAGAAGGCACAGGGTCACCAGAGAACAAGGGACCAGATAATCTGGTCTAAACTAAGATGAAAAGCCTCAAAGAAAAAATAAAGA